TACAGATAAAAACTCGCATTATGTATATAAATTTTATAAATAGTAAAAAATCCGGTAAATTACTGTAGGCCTCTGTAGCTCATTATGATAATGATTTATGGAATTATACTTCAAAATATCTTGCTAACTATTGGTCAAGTCAGGTTAAGCTTATATTTATTGGAAAGCTCTTGTCAAGACGGTTCTAATACTACCGTATATTCCCGAAAATAAGCACCCTGTGACACGCTCCTTTTATAGTAATTTATTTATTTGTTACATGATATTATTTGTCACATATATACTAATAAATTCATATATATCACGCGATGCTTATTTTCGGGACTATACGGTATTTCCATCGAAATATTGATCATTAGGTCAAGAGTTATTTAACAATAGATACATTCAAGTTATATCCTATGTTTTTGGGTTGACTACTATTAATATATACTAGGGAACGGGAACAATCCGGAACGATCTTAACTAAATAAATATTGCAAAAGCCAATCAGCATCGATTCAATTTTTGAGCGGGCGGACATCGGGACACTTTGCGTAGACACATATAGTCCTTCACTTCGTTCCGGACTAATTAAAAAATTTTTTATTCTTGACTTTCGGAATGTTTTGAAATATTTTAGTATGTAGCTCTAAACTTTAATCTTAACCAATCAAATCAACAAATTATTCACGTGATTGTTTCAATTTCGAAGATAAATATAGCTTTCAAATGTTCATAGCTTTTTATACAAGGAGTTTTTTAAAAAACTAAACCGATAACTTTATAGAGTATAAGTTGGATTATAAAGTTATCGGTTCAGTTTTTTGAAAATCCTTTTATTTAATGTATAGATAGATTTTAAAAATGCTCGATTTTTCGATCACGTGAATGTCGGATATAACCTACCAGCACCATATTTATACAAGCCAATTTGAACGGCAATTGGATATAAAAATTAACGAATCTTCCTGAAAAAATACTTGTAATTTAGTTGTTTATTAAAAATTAACATATGTAAATAATTTCTATAAACTTATTATTTTTTTTTGCTTTTTTCGATTTAAATAATTTACAGAATAAGTAAATAAGTGTTCATTTGATAATGATGCGATTCTTATTTTGTGTATTCATAATAAGAACCTTTGTCCCATTAATATTATTAGATTCCCGAATAACATTAATTCATTTTACTAGTTTCTACCATTTTTTGCATAACCTGAATTAATTCTTCAGGCGAGGAAACATGCCACCCAGCTAGAGTTTTCTTATTAGCCGCACCAATTGTTGTGCAGAAATAGTTATCGATTGGCAGCTCTGATTTTCTCAATGATCTAAACATATCTTCGTCAGTTCTATCATCTCCAGCGCAGAATACAAAATCTACATCTGGGTGAGACGCCAATAAACGCTTTACAATTTCTCCCTTTTTGAATATAAAAAAAGGTTGATTTTCTGTCTCCATTTAATATAATAATACAAATAGTAAAACAGAATACTTTTAACTCACTTTATTAATTGTTGTTGGTCTGACCTCCAAATTTTTCTTTCCTAATAGAATTTCGACCGGTAATTTCGGAAGAATTGCATTTTCAAGATGATTTTGACACTCTTTGGCTTGAAATGCACTATTTATATTTTTTAAAAAAAAAATTTAAAAGTAAATGACTGGCATTACGAGTTTTATATTAATATAAATAAATTATTGTATAATACTTTACCCATACTCTGGGTCTGCCTGACGATAATGCCATGTAATAGAAGAACGTTTACGTTCTATGAAAGATCCTTGTGTACGTTCAGTGTAATATGTAAAGATCTCTAACACATCATTTTTCCAGCTCATATCTATATCTTCTGTCAGATTAATCCATTTATCACCATCTGGGTTTTTAAGGAAACTCCCGTGCTCTGCACTAAATTAAGATAATAATTTTAGTTTTTATTTAAATTTTAAGTTTACATTTAAGATATAGTATTTTACCTAAAACCAAGTTTTTTAACGGAGCCGAGCCAATTTTCTAATGTAATTGAATCACGCCCGGAAACAACCCAAGTAGTGTTATTAGGATCATTAGTAAGTTCATCTAATGCCTCAAGCATACGAGGTGGAGGAACTGCCGCGCTTGGAGTTCTCACGATCGGTGTTAATGTTCCCTAAATAAAATAGTTATTTGAAAAAGTTCATTTCTTCATTAAATAAATGAATAATTGAAATCAACTCACATCATAATCGAATAGCAATAATCGCTTTTTGGCAGATTTGTATTTTTTCTGTAAGTAGTCCATATCGAGATATGGGGTAATACTTGATTGATTATGGTTATTCAGACTAGCAACTAATTCTTTGGTAAAAGACTTTGCCCAGAATTGGGCTGTATGAACGGTAACATGTTTGTATAGTTGCTATGAAGAAAACAAAGTCCATAAGTATACTTTTTATTTCAAAAAAAATGAGGTAAGAAAGGACAAACTTTATACCATATGCTTTGCCTTTTTCTCTTCCGCGGGCAAACTTAAGGCATCATTGATTGTCTTTGCAACTCCATCATAATCCCAAGGATTTACCATTATAGCAGCTCCCAAAGACCCAGCCATTCCTGTAAATTCACTCAAGATAAGTGGACCATGGTTTTCCTGCTGACACATGATATATTCAAGTGATGTAGTGTTCATTCCATCGCGTACAGAAGTAATGAGACCTAGATCTGCAACACTTAAGAGCGCATAATATTCATCCTGATCCATATGATTATGATAATGATGAACAGGAGTGAACTCGAGAGAACCGTATGTGCCATTTATCTTAGCGATGACCTCTGATACTTTTTTTTCTAATTTTGGTGATTCACTGAGAGCTGGGGAAGTGACTTGTATCAAAACAACCTTTTAAAATTCATGAATATTTAGAAGTGCTTTTTTAGGAATAATTTTATTTCGTTAAAATTCTAAACGATATACCTTTCCCTGCCATTTAGGATAATCTTCCAAGAACTTTTCGAAAGCGTGTAATTTTTGAAGGACGCCTTTGACCAAATCTAACTTATCTCTTCCAACGATAATCTTTTTGTCCGCATACATTTCCCTAATCGCTGCCATCTTTGGTGCAACATCAGGATGCTTCCTATTAAAGTTATTACAAAGTAATTCGTTAACTATGCTTATTGATTAAAGAGCATAACTAATAACAGTTCATACCTTTGGGCTTCGACTCTCTCAGAGTCGATCCCAATAGGGAAAGTACCAATGGATACTATCGATCCCTTAGCATCAACACCACTCGGTGTTGATTCATAACCCAAAACACGCGTGCAATTACTAATGAAATGCCTTGAATATGAGTATGTCTTAATATAAATATAAAATAAATTGTAAAAAGTGAATTTATATAAAAATTAATCTTAATCATTAAATATAAATGTGATATCAAGGTACCTGAAATCCGATTTGATTTGCTCCCAACATTCCATTCAAAATTTCTTTCCTCTCTATTTCATCGAATCAATTAATAATGATCAAATCGAATCGATGCATTAAACTGGGGATATGAATAAATAGTTGCAAAAACTCACTAGGCAAACACCGGAAAATTTCCGAAGAAGGGAATGGGGCATGAATAAATAAACCAATTGCAGCATCGGGGAGTATT